TTTTCTTATTTGCGTTTAAATGTCATTCTCTCTGGCACACTTGCTTCAGAAGTATCAACGACAGTCACCCACACACAGCATCTATATAAATACGCGGGAAAACCACGCATCACTTGCACTGCATATGATAGGATGGATCTCTATGCATTCGAATCGAGTCAAGTAACAACAAGACCAGACGCCTATATTCATTACGCCTTCATAACTTTATGATAATTATTAATGACGCCAGGATTACACACTGGACGATATAAACAAGATGAAGAAAATCATCATGGACCACTGGGACCAGGATCACGACGGCACCATAAGTAAAAGTGAACTTCGAATGTTCTTAATTCAACAGTGCAAAATATCGGCAGAAAGTCAAGGTTTACCTTACAATGACGAAGGAGGAAGTGATGACGACGACGACTACGACTGATTCTGTTGAATTAACTTTTGTTTAAGAATAACTAATAAAAGTGGGACTAATGCAGTATAATTTCATCTCATAAGCATATTTACAAACATTTTAATACAAAACGCGCGCATGTATAAAATAAAGTATAGTGCTTTTCCACCTGATCAATCGTGAAATTACGCCATTTTTCTTAATTTTATTGGAAATTAACTCACGAGATCAAGCCGTTATAATCTCACTTTTTTTCAATTATATGTTCATTCCTTTGTCGTCAACCAGTAGTCGGAAGAAATATCGTGAAATAATTTATCTTATTATTGGTGCTAGACGTTTTATTTTTTTGAATTTCGCCTTATTAAACATTTAAATTATTTGTTATATATATATAAGTGTGCGTGGTTTTGTTTTTGTGCGTGTGACTGCGCGTGAATGTCTCTGTTATTTTTGAATAACACTGCATAAATCACTTTTATTGGTACAATGATGTTTGTATAAATAGCTTAACACAGTTTTGGTTATTTTAAATATTTTATTTAAATTGTATTTGATAGCCTTTTGTTTCATCTTCTTAAACTGCATATAACCGTAATATTAACACATACACAAACACAAACAAGAATTTTCGTTATCTAACTGCATTATTAGATAAACATACATTTGCCAAAAATAAATTTACATAACACATGGACTTGAATAAAAAAAATTGTCGTATTTTACACTTTGTAGTTTATGTAAAAAAAATTAAATAGAAAGCGCTTCCAACTATGGTCGTAAGTTTTTTGATCTATTTTTAAAGTATTTTTCGATATTTTGTTAAAATCCATTTCTAACTGAATATGCAGGTTGGTTCCTAATAGAAAACGCTTCCTAGTAGCAATTGCGTTTTGGTAAACCAACATAACAAAGAACAAGCATTTCATCAAAATATTCTAAAAATTTCAAAACTTTGTTTTAGAAAAAATTTCCATTCTCAAAACTTCAAATAAAAATTTTTAAAGCACTAATCAAAATTTCATATTAAAACGAGAATAGCCAACAAATAAATTTATATATAAAGGCAGCATTATACAGCTTCAAGTAAATTTTGTCATGTAACAAACAAACTAGCTACTATTAAGTTATTGAAATCTGATTTTACACGGTTCCTTGTGTTACAAACTAAAATTTTTCAAGAATATGAGCACTTGGGGAGACTCTACCTCAGTATGCAACAGGTTAGCTTGGTATCATCGACCAGTGTACAAGTAAAAATACATCATTCTATTGAGAAATTATACCTAAAGGAGTAATATTAGTGGATTGTGATATATATCATGGGATCAAATATCAAACCGGGTTGCAGTGATATACTGAATATGATTTTGACATTATGAAGTTCAAACAATGAAATCAACTGAAGAATGATATAGCAATAGCAGGCAAACATTCATGTTCATTACACAATAAGCTAATGACCATCATCTTCATCATCAGTCCTTTGGCTAACAGCATCCATTGTATTATCATCATTGTTATTAACGCCATTATCATTACCATTATCACTTTCATCACACTCATCATTTTCTCCTCCATCAAGCTGACTTGTTCCAGATTCAATGTTTCTGCCATGATTGCTCGCATTATCATCATCATCATCATTATCACCACCATCATCAGCATTAGAGATATCACGGTCGTCAGTATTTTCATTATAATCATTTGTATCATCACTATCATTATCATCAGCATTATCATTTTTATTACTACCAGCAACTGCTTCATCCCTCGGCTTGTCATTCTCATCACATTCATTCATTCCATCACTGATGTTATCTAAATTCACATTACTATTTTCATCATTCTGATGAGTACTTTTATTATTGTTATCACTTCCACGAGAGCTATGATTTTTTTTAATATCATCATCGCCATTATTGTTGACATCATCATCGTTATTGTCTGCAGCTTTTGAATTATCAGTATGCTCTTTACTATCTCCATCATTATCTTCATCACATTTATCGTCAGCATTAACATTATTATTATTGTCATTATCATTGTACTTGTGTTCAGCATTTTCATTGTTTTCATTTTGATCAGATGAATTTTCTTGTTTGTGATTATTAATATTATTATCATTACTATTGTTAGCATCACCATTATTATTATTATCATTATTATTATTATTATTGGTACCATGTGATTTAATAGTTTCCTCATCATTGCCAAGTTTCAATTCATATTCACTGCCAGCATTGAAATCTTCATGCTCCCCGACACTATCTTTTCGGGCTCTTTTACTCCTGCTGTCATCAAAATTAGTATTGCTTTTTTGGTTGGTTGAATCCCGTCTTTCGTCTGGTCCTGAAATGGATTCTGCTGGAGACCTTTTGCAACTTCTTGATCTGCTTCTTTTTCTTTTATTTGATCTTGATGTACTCCTCCTCCTCCTCTTTCTATCAACCGACCTTGACCTACTTTTTCTGCGCCTATCACGCGATCGGCTTCTTCGATGGTAGTCTCTGGATCGACTTCGCCTTCTTTGTCGATCTCGAGAACGACTTCGTCTATAGCGGGGTCCTGATCTGGAGCGAGACCTACATTTAAATTTGCATTATTAAAAATTATATAATTATATAAGTTAATAAAATATTACCACACCTTCTATGATAATTACGTCGAGAATTTTTTAAAAAGTCTGCTTTATTTGATCTATTGTGTCTGGCTAATTGCACTTTTATTTCTCTCCCATCTAAAATTGTCCGATCCATGGAATCAGCGGCATCTTCTGCATCTCTATAATCATAGAACCGCACAAACCCATAACCACGATTAGATTCCTTGCCGTAGGGATCTCTGAGTAACAAAAAAAATTAGAAAATTAATGACAGCCAGGCCATGAATTTGAATTGAATACAAAACATGCATGTTTGTCCATTTCACTGTTTTTTGTTTGGACACATTAAACAAATGAAATTAATTAAGTGGTAGCTAATTCAAATTTATAATATAATATGAACCTTGGAATGTACACATCGCCGATTTCTCCGAATTTATCGAACCATTTCCTCAACTGGTCCGTGCTGGTTTTGCTACTTAAATTGTCGATTTTTAATGAAATAAGGCTTTCCCAGTCCACTGGCCTTCGTCGATCAGAACTCATTTCAGAAAATAAAATGGTAAAATGAATGAAACGCGCACAAATCTCATAGAACTACACAGAACCAAGAGCATCGTTTCACGATAGAAACGGCGAATCGGAAGTTTTTACTTAAAAGTTAAAGGTGTAAAAAGTTGTTAAACGTAATATTTAATAAAATTTTAACGTACCTTTATTGAAAAAATAAATAGCATTATAAAAACATGCAATTTTTTTAAATTAACTAAAACTTTTTAATATTATTTAACAAAAATAGAATTAAAATTTGAATAAATAAAAAAATGATTTGTAGTCTTTGTAGCTTCTATTACTTTTGTTCTATATATAATTGCTTAGTACTTCCCTTTCCTTCTACTTTCCCTATATCGGTATGCCGGCATGGTGCGGACATGGATATTTTGGATATGGATATACATATCCGTGTTCATCCATATATCCCGTCTCGTTTTGCTGTTTTTGCTGCGATTAGGGCAAGCTGGATTTTAGTGAAATTGTAGCAAGTTGCGAGTGAAATGTGCGGTCTGTTTCATGACTGCTCGACTGAATTCCGGCTTCGCAACCTATTCTTTTATATTTTTTGTTCTTGCGCCTGTTATATTTTGATTTTTAATACTTTATTGATTATTCGCAAAATGATGAAAGCAAGGCGAATTTGAACCGCAGTTTTATTATCAGTTTATCTGATTTGGAATGGCAACCAGAGTTTATCGTTCGTAATCTTGGCATTTGATCGAAGTTGGATCAGGGGCTGTAAGGGCGAACGAAGATTAAATTTTTGATCACGGGTGGATTAATTCTAGTTATATTAGTTCGCTAATGGCCAAAATTACAATTTGCAGCATTGGAAGCGGTCATGATATGCCTTGTCTTTAGTAATCTGATTGTGATTATTACATTTATTTTACATTACGTATGGTGAAAATTTTATTAGTAGTCGTTTGTATATACATGTTCATTGATAATTAATTACAAATATCACATGTTAAACCTATATTTTTATTTTTTGCATATTGCTAATGCTGGCTGCAACAAATGACCACAAAACTTCATATAAAAAAGATGTTATTTATTTTAATATATCAAAGTTCAAGGCTGTTTTTGTTAAGTTAAATAGTGATTGCCTGATGACCAGATTTCATAATGAATACAAATTCAATATCAATTAAAATATGAATTGCACTAATTTGTGATGTCGTTCAGACAGACGATGAATGACAAATATAAAATTTGAGAGGGTCAGTCAGTGGATGGCTGTAAGGGAGTTGTTGAGCAATTGAAAATGTATACAGTCTAACATCAAAAATGTATTTGAATGTGTGAAACAGTTGATCAAAATGCAATAATTCAGCAGGAAAATATAATTGAAACAAAGGTAAGGTTAACTATCTAGCACAATTTTTGAAATGAGTATATAATACAAGGATGCAACACTTCTCAATACTTAAACCAAAAGTGAAAGCATGGCACCAATTATATTTAACAAATGAAAATCATGTAACAATTCTTGAAATAATGATCATAACAAGGTGTATTTCATAAACGATTAAACTATTGAATTGGGTTGTGAATTGCTGGGTGCTACTGGAGTGTATCTGACTTCTCGTGACTTGTTCCTTCTTATTTCCCATCTGTTAATTTTCCTAACCGGTAGACAGAGGACTCCTCCTAGAACCATCATGATCCCAGAGACAATGAATGATAATTTGTATGAGCCAGTGCAGTCGTATATTGCACCTGAAACAATTTCATTAAAAACAGTTAACACTAGTGTTCACAAATAATATTTAATCTTTTAAAATTAAATTCACTAATTTTTAAAAATAATAAAATTTTTATGTTTGGTGGAATACATGACATAAGGTGTTCCAACCTGAAACGGGAGTGCCCAGTAGAAGTGCAATACCTTGGAAGAGTGCCACTATTCCAAATGCATTGGTCAGCCTTTGTACACCTAGCAGATCGCAGATGACTATGGATCTTAAGGCTATGAAAGCAGCTGAAAGTGAATTGCAATGAAAATGCTTTTTAAACATAATAGGAAAGTAAAATATTAAAATCAATATTAAAACAATAATGGTGTTAGACGTTTTAATAATACATAGCAGGCTAAAGAACTTTAAGCAATCGAAGTATATTACATAGTATTAAAATTGTGTAGCAGCAAGAGAATCTTATCCTTGAATCATTGCTCTCTTTCAACATTATATGTCAAAATTTGGCAAAACATTATTTCATTCATTGTGTGTTATTGTTAGGTAGGAGAATGATTCAAGGCCATTTGAAATGTAACACTAGTATTGTAGTAACCTACTTTAAATTTTTTGCTATTGAAGAAAATAAGGGTGAGTGAGAGAGAGAAATGAGAGATAGAGAGAGAGAGAGAGAAATTATATTGGAGACGACAAGAGAGAGAATCTTGAACATCAAATGCATGAATATTGAAGAAAGAGTGTTTTGAAGTTGAAAAAGTCAAACTCCCATGTGAATGACAAAGATTGAAGGTACAAAAAGCATAAAACAAATGAGTGTGAATGAATTCAACAATTAAATTAAACAGATTTGCGGTCCAAAGCATTTTTGTGGACTCTGATATATGTCATTTTTTGACATCAAACTCAAGACAAAAACTGAATGTATAATTTGAAAAGAAGTAAAAATATTGACAACAGACTGATATATGTCAAAAACTGCTTCAAATAAAAAAAGCACACGACACATTTGCCATAAACCAATAAAATAAGGTTCTAAAACAAAACATTTATGAATTTCAAAAACAACAATAAATAAGCAGATGACCAGAATTATAATATGGTGGACTATAATACATGAAAAAAAAATGAATGACCAGAAGCATCTATACACATGCGTAAAGAAATTTGTAACAGTCAAGAGAAATCATATTGTTATGAAAAAGATTCAGTGTAGGTACTGTAAAGGCAGAAATACTATATACTATATATATATATAACATAAATATATATATATACAGTACACATTATTTACGTACACATACTTACGTGCATACAAATATATATAGCATATTTTTTTCTGTGCTCTGGATCATTAAGAGCAACAGCAAAAACCACGAACTCATTAAAAAGATATTATTAAGGCTTCATGTTAATGCAAGCATAGATACATATACAATACAACCATACATGCATACATACGTATACATACAAACATACATACGTACACGCATACAAACATATATATATATATACATACATGTGTGCAGGTTGTTGCGTCTATAGCAAGCAAACTTTCTATATTTAAACTTTAACTTGTCGATGGAGGATACATACTAACACATACACATACAAGGATGAACATACATGCACGCACACACGCACATAGCTAATATGTATTTTAATTACATTGCTTGTTTTATTAATTATTATTATAGCTGTCTCTTTCAGAATCGAAAAGAAATAAAAATCTACACATTAACAAATATAATTGCATGATAATTTAAAATTTTTTTTTTATTTTCGACTAAAAACCATTAATATAAAATTGACAAAAACTAATGTGGTTTCGTTAGTAGATGTAAACAAATGCTTTTGAAATGAAAAATGTGTGACTAATGGGAAATTGAAACTATTTCAACGGAAAGTCGTGTAGGTTTAATTAGATTACTTTTAAATCTAATCATCATAAGCTGAATAAAAACTAGGTTAATAAAGCTTAAATATATGCTGGACATTGATAAATGATGATGAAGATAATCAGGTTTTATAACATATTGTAAACTTTGATACGTATAAAATATTATAAATGAAAAAGAATTGCCTAACCTATAGAGAAACCAAATGTAATTGCATAGGCATAGAAGGCCACCATGTTCGAGAAAAATGTCAGTGAACATGTGGCCAACCCAGCCAAAATCAGTGCCATGTTATGAATTAGTGTAGAATCAGCCCACGGTCTGTCGGCCAGCCAGCCAGCCAAAATCCTGCTGACCGTGTTAGATAGCCCAATGGTTGATATCAACCAGTTGGCCCTCTCAGGGTGTTCTGATACTGAGATTTGAGCGTAGTCAGTCAGGTAGACGAAGGGAGAGTAGAAGCCTGCGTTGAATTTTGTAAATGGATTGTTAATCTCAATAATTGGTTATATCAATTCATGATTTTAACTTACACCACTGATTCATAGAGAAAAAATTGGGGATTGAAAATAAAAAAACATCATCCCCCATTTAGTAATTGTTTCAGTTGCAAGCATATAAAGTAGAAGTGGGAACTTAATGAATAGAAATATAATGTACTTATGTACTTATACAATGTACAATAATTTCAGTAATTGCACATATTTGTTCATACTCATCCACTGATGAAACAGCATTTAAAATGATTGCATGCAAACACGATCACACACAAACATACCCACACGTGTGCTATTAGTTTGATGGGATGTAATTGACACAAGAGAAACAGAAACAACAAAATATTGACATGCAAAACAAGAGCAACAAACGCATCCAGTTCAAATCCATTAAAATGTTGCATTGATATCATCCTGCTTAGTCCCATTCAGTGCCCTCTTTTATTATGTGAACAAAAATGATAACTGACAGTAAATATAAATATTGCAAATATCATTAGCCAACTCGTTAGTGCAACTCAATATTTTGATGACCTCTAAACTGATGACGTTGAAAACGATGATGGTGATGTTGCAGACGACATAAAATAATGATCTTTCTCATTCATTGTGACATTGAGAATGGATTTTAATTTATTCATATAAAAATATACTGGCAGCACTACGCAGAAGAAAAAAAATGGAAATTCTAACCGAAAAAAAACAACTACCTAGAAGCAATGATTAAAAATGCATAGGCACATTTTGACAGGCATTGTACATGTACTGTACATACATCCGTGTGTGTGTGTGTATACTATGTATATATATATAAATATAAATATATATATATATATAATATACATCCATAAATGCATATACATATGTCATATGAATTGAGCAATGCAAATTGATGGGATCAGATTTTATCTATTGCCTATCAGTGTACATACATAGTGAAAGAAAGGAACATATGAATCATTTCACTACATCAATTCCATCACATTACATTAAAACATGTCAGAAATCACATCATGACATCATCACACAATTCTATCATAACATAACGTCAATTATATCATAGCGTAATCACATTTCATCAGCATATTGATACCGTGTCATCAAATAACCACATCATCATTATATCATAAATCAAAACATGAGCACTACCAAATAACTTGCTGTACATCAGGACAGGTGCGTTTGTGTTCAGACAGGCAAACAAAAATTTTTGTCCACCAATGGTAGTTATGACTACGACAACAATTATAACAACAATGATAATAATAATAACAATAATGAAGATGAAGATGATGATGGAAAAGTAAAATGATGTTGTTAACAATGACAATAAAGTTGTGGATAATAAGGAAAGAATTTTATTCAGGTACCTGAGAGAGACATAGCTAATTAATTTTAAACGCCAAATTAATTAACTCTAGTGTAGCTAATTAGTCACAAGCCTACCTACACTAGATCATGAGAAGAGGAGAACACACAAAAATAAATAAAACTTCTGGTGCATTACAGTTAAACTTTCCAGATATTTTACTTCATGTGTACTAAATTGCCCTTTTACTAACACGCACTGGCATAGAAAAACAAACATAAACTTACACGCATGTACCACACATACTTAGATACATAAACTTAAGTTCATACATTAAATATATAAACACAACACTTAACATGCTAGAATACATATACATACAAACTACCAACACATTATTTACACATTAATGGTTGCATGAATAGCATGGCAAAATGTTGAGGTGAATTCTTTAAAAAGTCAGATAATTTTAAGTGGTTTACTGACAAGTATTTAATGTAAAAAGATTTCGAGAGCGTTATGATTAATAACTGTTTTATCTCAAAAATGTCATGAAGACTAATTTTATTCAGTTTGCATGTTTTAATACTTCTATAATGACAAAATAATCAAGTTTTTTTTTATCTAAACTGCTTGATGTTTGTATTTCATTGAAGCTCTAATACAATTCAGCAACAACAATATTTGAATTAATAAATAAAAATTCAAAAACTTACAGAAAAAAATAAAACTAACAGTTTGAAACCCACCCATAAATCCAAATACACCAGAGAGTGCAATAGCTATGAATGTAGGACTAGCCAGCAATGTAAAGTCAAACATTTTTCTCAAGACATCGAGCAGGGGAGCACAGGGCCCACCTTCAGGGCTCGGTGACACAGCCCTAGGTATGTCTGTGACACTATTTACATAGGCCCTCATGTCAGGATTGGCATTGTATTCGGCTATATTAGTGACACTACCGCCATAGAGAACATCTGCCCTATAAAGAGGATGAACATCTGGCAGTTCTTCATCATCGGTGCTGCTGCTAACCTTTGCAACTGTGGCGGTTGGATCTGTGTCTAATTTCAAAAATTCTGATGTAGATGTGGCCTGTGAAGGGTCTTTCTTTATGGAGTCTTTGTAATTTTCCTGCATGTATGGGTTCAAATGTGTGTGTGTGTGGTTATATGTGGATATAACAAACTGGTTGAATGATAAGTTGAGAAAAAAATCAAGTTAAATCAAAACATGAATTAGTAAAAGAAAAAAAAATCACCATGTATATTTTCTTCCTTTTCTTCTTGGCCTTTAGAGGTTTGTAGACAAGAGCACAGGGTAGCCCATTAAGGATGAGACCAGCCATGATTAGATTGGCCCCCCTCCAACCGTATGTGTCACATAGGTAGGTAGCCAGAGGGGCGAATAGGAGAGTACCCAGCCCTGAACCACATACAGCAATGCCTGTAGCAAGAGCTCTCTTCCTGTCAAAGTACATTCCAACCATGACTATTGATGGTAGGTAGAGTAGACCAAACCCAATTCCTTGGTGATGTTATAGCAATGGTGGGAATGTTAGTTTCTTGAGTGTAATGTATTTGATGGTTAATCAAAATTAATTATTCACGGTTGATGGACTATTGTTGCGCTGAAATCATGTATGAATTAATAATTATAATACAACTTTAAGGTTTTTTAATCAATAGTGTATTAGGTGAAAAATTGAAAAATAATTGAATTAACATGTTTCCAACTTGCTGAAAATAAACTATTTAAAATATGGTAAAGAAAATTAATTATTCTCAGTAGTACAGAATGCTTTAAATAAATATTTTTTCAATTTAAAAAAAAATATTCCTGCTATCAATTTTCAGTCCTGACCTCCAAAGATGCCATATGTGACGAGCATCATTTCAATGTTGTGTGAGAAATAACTTGCGATGAATGCTGCAGACGAGACAATGGCACCACAGCATGCAACCACTCGACAGCCAAACTTATTGACCAGCCCGCCCACAAATGGCCCTAAAAGGTTGAGTGGCCAGTGCAAGTGTGGATGGTTAAGTTATGTGTGGTTGTGAATACCTGTGTGGTTGTGTATACCTGTGTGGAAGTGTGATTACCCAGGTGTTTGAATGTGTGTGTGTGTTTGTTTGTTATGTGTGTGAAGATATACATATGTATGCATGCCTCCATCCTTGCGTGTATGTCTGTGTGTTTATATGCATGTATGATTATGTTTTTTTTGGTATAGCTTTTCATTTGGCTAGTCTTGCCAGTTGTTCACTGCAATTATACATTTTTGACATCATAATTACTACCACAAAATAATTATTTTAATTGATGAAACGGTTATAAAAAAAAAGCATCAGTGAAAGTAATTTTCCCATTAAAATAAAAAAAGACTGCAACTTTTCCTAGCTCAATAAAAATCCTAATTATTTAGAAAAACTTTCAAATGAGTAATATGAATTGATAAGTTAATTTGCATAGTTAAATTATTTGACTACAGACAGCCAAAAAATAAAAATAAAATGTAAAAAAGTACAAAATGCAAACAAATAAATGATTGAAACAAATTTTTCTTGTTAGGATCATTCCTTTTTTCACACCATATGTTCAAAGATCACAAAATAAAAGACATATATTTATAATGACTCTTAAATCTGTGTGCTATGTGAATATATGCATCAGGTATATATGTGAATGTAGATTATAAGTTATGCATGTCTGTGTACATAGTCACAATAATGATGCTTATTATGTCTGAAAAATTTTTAGAAACAAAAAGAATAAATAAATAGAGAATGTTTTGATGATGGCATGAAAGTACAGTTGACTGTTCTTTGATATCACTAAATTTAGGTTGACATGATGTTGGTGGTCCATACAGTATGATATTATATGATATTTTATTATACCATATTTTGATGTTGATTTAAACATACTTGTTCGTATGCTGATACAAGTTAAAAAATTAATTGAAATTCAATGACATTTTTAAAATGAACACAGACTATATTATAGGTAGTAAAAAATGTTGAGAATGCATGTGCATCAATTGTTATTTCCAATCACATGAAAAATGTGCTCTTTACATGTTAACTAAATTATGCATCGAAAATATTTACAAACAAATTTTAAGCTGGACAACAAAAACTTTGGTTGGGAAAATTTTTCATAATTTGGTTTTCAATACACAAATTCATTGGTCTGTCTCACAATTCTTATACACATACTACATTCAATATTTCAACATCACATAAAATACCTGTGCCTATCATGATTTATGTTAACATTAACTAAAGCAGATGGTTGAAAAGATGTATATAAGGTCTTACTTTTTAAACTAAATATACACCCTATTCAATACCATTATAGTGCACATTCTATAATAAATGATTTCAAACTAAACATACTACTGTATGGTAAGTACACATAATATTAAACAGATCATATATATTATATATATATATATTATATATATATATTTATAACATATATATAATTTCTATACTATATTATATATAATATATATAGCAATAGCACACCTACCTACCTACAATGAGATAAACACCACCAAGCAGGGAGCCAACCATGGAGATGGTGGCCTTGTGAGCCTCAGGGAAAGAATGAATAAGATTTATGTACAAAATTCCAAATGTATATAAGATGCCATCAACCAGGAGGTTGGAAAAAAACGAAGCAACCATAACCACCCATCCCCAACCCCCATCTGGCGGCAGTGGAGCTTCCAACTCCTCTAGCGGAGGAATCCTCTTTTGTTTTGCCGTTGTTGTCATTCGCCAAAACTGTATATTTCTTGATCTAGAAAAAACATGCTCTCCTCAATAACAGTAAAATAATTTAAGTCACGCCAAGTTAAAATATTACATTAAAATTAAAGATTAACATTATTAAATCACATATCAAATCAGAAATAGGACACAGATGTTAAAAATGTTTGCACACAAAACTAAATCCAATATATAATATTCAATATATCAAACCTTTTAAACATTATTAACAATTTACAACAAAAATTATCACAAAATATAAATATTAATGATCAAAATAAAGATTAAAAGGATGATCTATCTATAATCTTGACGACCACACATTCGGCTACAAAAAAAGATGTCGGACAAAAAACTTAAATAAAATAAAGTTAATTTATCTATGGTATTATCATCATATTTTTTATCAACCAATCAATCAACCAACTGGCATAAAATATCAACCAACCAATTAGTTACATTCAATGTATCACAAAATTTAAACTAATAAACCAAATTATATATCAATTCAAATAAAATTTTTCTATGAATAACTCGTAAGCTTAAAGAAAAGCATCACGGCCGTAGTTTAAATACAGAATTTAAAATATAACAGCATACTCCAAACCACATTCATATACTGAATAAAAAATTATACTTAATTATAATTATTATAACATGCGTTAGGAAACATTTCATTATAAAGGGCTCATCTTTATATGTATATATATATATATATATATCACGGGCATATATATATATATATATATATATATATACATTTATATATATATATACATTTATATATATTTACATTTATATATATTTACATTTATATTCGTTTGCATGAACTAAACCTAATAAAATGTAACGATTATATAGATTATTTGAAATTTTATATAGTATATATAAATATATGTATGTATATGTGGTATATATACCTATATAAGTACTACCTTTATTAGTATTTATAAATACCCTTTATAATTATGTGTAGCAATTTTATCTTTATATAGCATGTACAATTTTATATATTTAGCATATAAATTTGATAAATACAGACTGTTTAATTGAAAATATTTGAGTGGGATGTAACATTCTTATTGATACGTGATCTTTAAAAAATTATTGCAACAGTTATGGAGTTGAAAACATATGAATGTGTGTGTGTGACTATATATGTATGTGTGTATGTGTTTGTGTGTATGTTAACTATATATATATTGGTTTATTCATATATAATTACATTCATATATAATTACATTCATATATAATTACATTCATATATTTATCTAATTACAATTTTTAATTTTAATTTAATATTTCGGGCTATGAAAACCATTTGTACCTAACCCGATATTTGAACGAGAGTATTCATATGATTTGTGTACGCGTGAATAAGTATGACAGGATGCGAGATGATGTTTTGTAGTAAAATCCCAATACGATGCAATACAACAGAATACAATACAATACATTACAATACATTACATTATGTTACAATACAATACAATACAATACAATAAAACATCTGTCTTGCTTACGCACAATATTCTATCTTCATGTTTCATTGCGTTGGCCTTAGTTTGTTGTTTTGTATGTTTGTTTGTGTGTGTGTGTGTGCGCGCGCGTGTGTGTGCACGTGTGTGTGTGTACATGTTTGAATGTATTCTTTGAACGTTTTTGTTTATTTGTTGGTGTATGTATAAGTATATTTGTACATGTACCTTATGTGTTATTATTATCAATTTGCCGTTACTTCATTTTATATTCCATCGTCAATTACTTTTCTTTTATTTGTCTTATTATTATTTATTTTATTCTAACATATTTTATTTTTCACGTTTTATCATTTCTCTTCCTCACTTTTTGTATTTATTTTCTCACTTATTTGTTTAATTTTGTTTCACTGCCTTGCATGTTGTTACTGTTTCTGCGTCTGTCAGATCCTGATTTTTAAAGAATAATAATAAAAAAAATGTGAGTTCGTAGGTACTCCGGTTTAAATATTTTTCTATTTGCTAAAAATCTGACGCCTTACAATGTCCAAATTTATAATAAATTTGCATGCAAAGCAAATTTACATCGTGATATTTATTTTGTTTAAATTTTAAATTTACAGACTCTCTTAATGAAAATTCATTAAAAACTAATAAAAAAAAATGCACAACCACCAACAAATGTATAAAAACTTACCCTCACAAATAAACACGCATATGGACGATACAAAAAGCATACATGCGCACATATACGGACACAAACACATGCATACAGAAGGATACAAACACCCTCAAAAAAACACAGAAAAACACATATACCTTCAAACTTTTACACACACACACGTCATCTCATGTTTGTTGAAGATGTTGGCAAATATTTGCACAATGTAAAACATAATAATTTGTCTAAATTTTTGTTTTGTTGCTGTGTGAGACTGCTGTGATAAGATCAATGCTATGTTTCTTGCTGTTGTTGTTGTTGTTGCTGCTGCTGCTGTTGTTGTGTTGAATTGTTGACGTTATAGTACAGTATTGTTTCATAATTTTGTTTTTATTGTAACACGCATTAACCTAGTTCAAATGCAAGAAGATTCGTTTTTGGCAATCAAACGCATGATGCTTTTTGCATAATTTTAGACATACGTTCGTTGGCAGTCGTTGAAAACTAAGAAATGTTCTTGAGTACAGCAAAAATTACGCTTTTTAGAGTTTGTTGATTCAGTGTTCTGTTGATGTTGTTGGTCTTGCTGATGTCATGTATTGAGTTGTTCTGTGTTGTGTTTTTATACTGTAATCATTACCTTATCATTACTGTTTTTCTTGCGGTGTGATGAAAATATTTTCCTTGCTCGTTCACGAACTGGAAGCAACTTGAGCTTCGATGACGACGTTCGATGACGACGTGTGTGTGCCTGGTCCTGTAGTATCTCAAAAGTTATTTATTCAAAAAAGTTGAGTTGGTGTTGCGTTATTGTTGTGGAGTTGTTGTTGTTGTTTTATGTGTTAATGCTGTCTCGACAATAGAGCAGCAAAATTAAACTTCTTGATGTTAGCAAATGAAATGACATTAAACAAAACAGAGACAACATGGACAACAACAATAGCACAACAACAAAATCAACAACAACAAAAACAACAACAACGAACATTGTGAAATGTAAACAAACTTTAACGAAAGCATCAAGGTTGGTATTTATAATTAATACCAAACAGATCAAAATTCATCGCTGTCACCACCTTAACACACATCCATTTGCTCATCCATTCATTCGTCCATCTATCCATAAACCTATACATCCATTCATTCATATATTAATTCATTAGTTCCTTCATTCATTCATTCATTCATTCATTCATTCATTCATTCATTCATTCATTCATTCATTCATTCATTCATTCATTCATTCATTCATTCATTCATTCATTCATTCATTCATTCATTCATTCATTCATTCATTCATTCATTCATTCATTCATTCATTCATTCATTCATTCATTCATTCATTCATTCATTCATTCATTCATTCATTCATTCATTCATTCATTCATTCATTCATTCATTCATTCATTCATTCATTCATTCATTCATTCATTCATTCATTCATTCATTCATTCATTCATTCATTCATTCATTCATTCATTCATTCATTCATTCATTCATTCATTCATCCATTTATTTATTCAAACTACCAAATATAATATGCAGATGATTGAAAAAAGGAACATTAACGTGGATGAAGTATGAATAAATATCATAGCGTTATCTCTGTCACTCATTTAAAACATAGCACAATGTCAAAGTTATCAGGTCATGAGAAGTTCACAGAGTTCACATTAACCTGATAAAGCTGACCTGATTTCGTTATTTTCTCCCTCTGATGCAGACGTTGAAGACTATCCTGTCTATATTGTGCCTATATTGTGTCTATAGTTGGGGATATAAGAATGAAAGGTCACCTTAATTTATGTTATGTATACATTGGTCGACTTTGCGACATGTGTATGCAAGAAATGTCTCAAGAGACAAACCCGTGCGAAGTCAGCACCTTTGAAGTTTTCCAGAAGAAGCACTCAACTAATTTTGCGATGCGGTATTATAAAAAAAAGGATGCGATACAAAACGATACGATACAAAACGATACGATACGATCTGACAGCATTCTCTGAAGATGTTGATATAGCTTAAAATAAGCTTTGATTAAAAATAACTTCACTCATGAAACATGAGAACAGATGAAGGTAAGAAAAATGAATGAATGGGCTAACAAATGAATGAAAGAATGTAAAATTATAAAGAATGACTGAACTAACGAACGATATAACGATTGAGTTAATTAACGAACTGCTGAAAAATTGTTAAATTCCGATTGAAGAGTTGACTTTTATCAAAGGTTACTATAAAAAATCGTTCCTCCATACTTTCATTCATTCATTCATTCATTCATTCATTCATTCATTCATTCATTCATTCATTCATTCATTCATTCATTCATTCATTCATTCATTCATTCATTCATTCATTCATTCATTCATTCATTCATTCATTCATTCATTCATTCATTCATTCATTCATTCATTCATTCATTCATTCATTCATTCATTCATTCATTCATTCATTCATTCATTATCTCAGTTATTCATCCATTCAATCATTCATTCATTTATTCATTATCTCATTCATTCGTTCATTTCTTAATTTAATCAAAGCCTATAATATATGCAAGTTTGCGTGTTAACTGCCTTAGTTTTTACATTCGAATTAAAAAGATTTCTTCTATAGCATATTTTGGATAGAGTACCTATACTTATATCAATTTAAGAATTAATCTAATAATTAATTGATCTGTTAATTAAATTGTTTAATTAATTTATTCAAATGGTACTTTCAAATACTTATGTACGTGAATACGATGAGTTTCAATCCGCAGACAAGAGCGCAACAACAGGTAACAGAATTCTATTTGGAAACATTTTTAATTGAATTAATAAATAGACAATTTAATAAGTAAAGAAAGAAATATCGAATCAAGTATATACTAAATAGATATATACACATATAATATAAGAGAAATATATAGAATAATATAATGTAATATATAATATAATGGAAATATATATATATATGTATATATATATATATATACATATATATATATGTGTGTGTGTGTGTGTGTGTGTGTGTGTGTGTGTGTGTGTGTGTGTGTGTGTGTGTGTGTGTGTGTAAGTCAGACAATGTCGAAAAACAAATTGCGATGGATTACTAAACTCATGACTAAAGCTTATAAAATGTTTTTTTGTATAGAGTTTGTAGTTATATTATTATCAGTAATAAATAATACAACAACGACAATAATATTAACAACAATTAAAAACAACAACAATAATAATAATAAAGTCATCAACAACATCGAATATATATATAAATATATATATATATATATATATATATATATATATATATATATATATATATATAGAAAGAGAGAGAGAGAGAATCACAAACATGATCAAAAATTGTTAATTAAAATGTATATTTGTATGGTTAACGTCAATTAAATTTACTAATATAACACGCTAAAATAAATAATAAATACACACATACACACAGACACACACGCGCGCACACATACACGCACATATTCAAATATATGTCAATCAAAAAATATGCAAGTGACAACGATTAGTAACGAGATTTTTATTTTTAAAAATTATTCCAATCCAATTGATTTTAGCTATTGGATGGATGAACGAATGAATGACTGAATGAATGATTGACTGAATGAATGAATGAATGAACGCACGAACGAACGAACGAACGAACGAATGAATGAATAAATGAATGAATGAATGCGTGACTGAAAAATAAATTGAAAAAATATATTCATCATATTCATATAAGTTGTAGCGAATTAGCGAATTAGCGAATTGAGCTCACTAAGAATTCAATGTCAATTTAAATATGAATCCAATAAATGGAATTTAAAGAAGTTAGATCACAAAAAATGGAACAACATTTAACCTAGAACTTTTTAAACGAAAAAAAATAATTCTTCAGAATGTTCTAGAGGAAAAAATGTTTATGAACAACGACAATTATAAAAAATTAATACTTTTTATCTGTAAAAAAACCTTATCACTAAGTCACCAACATCATCATTATTATCAATACTCTCATTATCATCATCATAATCATCATCATTATCGTCAACTACCATCATCATCATTACCATCAATATCACCATCATCACCATTACTATCATCATCATTATCACCACCACCATCATCATCACTACCAGGATCACATATCTCCGAATATTCCAGCAAATGTCTTCCTCAGGTTCCTCATCGTATCCTCCGAATCCTCCACCTGATCACGTGATGTGCTTTTGACGTTTTTCAATATTTTGCCGGAAGAACTTTTAGAGTTTTCATAATTATGGTTATAATTATATTATGGTTATAATTAGATTTATATTATATTTTTCTATTTTTAAAACCGCTGACAAAAAAAATAGTTATAAAAGTCAGGCAAATATTTATCAACCCATTAGTTGCGCGCTTAGAATTGAGGCACTGCTGCTTCAATTTATCGACGATGACGTCAGCAATCAACTTGCGATCTTCTTCCTGCGTGTCACCTAGCAATGGCATGGTGCTGTCGTACGCCTGTTTGTTTTATCGTTGTTGTTGTTGTTGTTAGTAGTAGTAGTAGTAGTAGTAGTAGTAGTAGTAGTAGTAGTAGTATTAGTAGTAGTAGTAGTAGTAGTAATACCATCTACATTACCAAAATCTACAACATCAACAACATACAGCATACATCAATATACATCAACATCAACAACCTCAACATCAACAAGAAACACCAACAACAGCAACATACAACAACATCAACAATACACAATAACATCAACATACAATACCAACAACATACAACAACAACATACAATAACATCAACATACAACCTCAACAACATACAACAACATCAACAACATCAACATACATCAATTACGAATTCTTTGCCGTCAGAGTTGGTCAGCAGCTGCAGGGCACAAATGTCCATCTCATCGAACACTCTGGAACATTCGACTAGCCATTTTTTGTACCTAACAAATTTTGTGTTGCTGTTGTTGTTGGTTGCATCAAATTTATAACATGGCATGTAACATAGAATAGACTCCGCCTGCTTAAAGAGTTATTCTTTTAGAAGACTCCTTTTATATAACAACTGATTATTCATGAAAATTAAAAAAATTATCATAATTTATTAATTTATTCACAAACGAACTGACCTATCAGGAAGAGGTATTTCCTCCAGTACAACCTGGCCGCAACTTATCTTCCAACTGCCACTCAAAGACGTGCGTCTTGTAAAAATTTTTGAATAATAAAAAATGTAATAATAATAATTATAATAATAATTATAATAATAATAATTATTATTATTATAATTATTACTATCATAAACAAAAATATAATAAAATATTACTTAAAAGCCCGATAGTGGTCGCCAATTTTTTGCACTCTGATGTCATAGAGGGCTTCAATGAACGGCTCGATAGTGAAATTTGATTGGTTGCTGAAGTTTAAAAGCTCCAACCAATCGCGTTCTGTTTCTATTTTTATCTTAGGAAATTTTTTAGAGATTATAAATATTTATACAATCAAATTTAAATATTTCAAAAACACGTAGGTCAACATTTAATTCTAAATCTTGCATTACTGTTTTCCCTTTAATAATATTATTTTAATTTGAATTGTTATGAAATTACTTAAAATGTAATAATTCATAATTCAACTGCAAATTTATGTTATCAATGTCAGACATACAATTCCGTTGCCATTGTGGTGAAGTTCACTTTTCATGACGAGAGGGAATTCCAGGGTGACTTTCGTCTGGTAGATTAGTAAGTAGTTAGTAGTAGGTTAGGAAATTAGTAAGTAAGACGCTGGAGGTGGGTTGTTATCATGAGTCACGTTAAATTAGGAAAAAAATCTTAAAATTCATTTGTTTTGATTTTTTTTTGTTGTGTGGGCGTTTCTTTTTGTTGTTGCGCATGGTTTATATAAACATCACACACCACACAGACTCCACCCACACACGCACACCACAGCACACACGCACGCACACGCACGCACACACAAACACTTAGAGAAAAACAGCAACAACATAGCAAAGTAAACATAATTTTCTCAAAGACAAACATCGCTTATCGTATTTGCAAACAGAATATTTTTAATTTCATACAAAAACAAAAGATCTTTAATCTTCCAAAATGCAACAATGTTTTGTTTTCATTTTGTTATTTTTTTTGGTTTTTATAAAAAATTTCGAAAATAAAATGCTTTCTACTCATTGTTTTTATTTCGCTCACGTATAAACTTTGATGGGTTTGCCGAAACATTTCACACAAATGCGTTTACGTACGTACTGTACACATCTTTGTTTACTTTTCACTTTTGTATTCATGTTTTTTGTACATGCAAAACAAATTTGTATATATCTTTGTGTGTAATATCAAGTGTTTATTATTTTGTGTGTGTGTGTGTGTTGGTGTTTGTGAGTGTGTGTGTGTGTGTGTGTGTGCGCGCGCTTTTAAGTGATGCAAGGTAGGTTGATTTGATTTATGCCCCATATAAATGTCAACTTACGTCATTTCCATCGCTCTACCATTGCAAAGGACAATAAAACTTCTATAGATTCATTACCGACCCCAACGACACCATAATAATTACGTCATCGTCATAATTTCATCATAATTATATTAATTATTGTAGTGTAAGTTAATAATTGTTATAATTAAGAAAACATAGTTAACCTCTTCACCATCCTCAATTTGTAAATAGTAACTACATATCTTTAAAGAACTTTAAAAAACTACAGTCGAATAGATTGTATGTTTGCCGGTTTGTGTTTGTGCATGTTCGTGTGTATGTGTTTGTGTGTGTGTATATGTGTGTGTGTGTGTGTGTGTGTTTGTGTGAGTGTGTGAAAACCATCCATTTCACTGTTCTGATCATCATTAATCATATTTTGCATTACCATAAATCATTCAGCCATCGGTCAATAATAATCTTTAGTAATCTCTCTTCATTCATTCATTCTTATTCATTTTTTTCCATTTTCACCAGCGTCATCATTATCAGTACTGTTAACACATTCTTCCTCGTCGTCGTCGTCATCATTATAGTCATCATCACCATCATAACATCATCGTCATCCTCACCATCATAACATCATCATCATCATCACCATTATAACATCATCGTCCTCATCACCATCATAAAACATCGTCATCATCATATCATCAGCATCATCACCATCATATCATCAGCATCATCACCATCGTAACATCAGCATCATCATCGCTAACACAATCGACGCTTCTGGAAAAGAACTTTCTTTCAATGAGCGGCATATCACTTCCGTTCAGACGTTTCAAGGCCTCCAATTTGGCCATCTGGTGGAAGTTTATTTTTTTGTGATATCAATAATAATAGTAGTAATTGTTATTATTATTATTATTATTATTATTATAGTAGTAATTATTTTTTGTTTATTATTATTATTATAGTAGTAGTTATTGTTTTTATTATTATTATACATTTTTTGCTTCAATTTTTCTGTTATTAATATTAATACTATTACTACTACAACTGCTACTGCTCCTTGTATTATTAATAATAATAGTAGTAGTAGTAATAGTAGTAGTAGTAGTAGTAGTAGTAATAATAATAGGTAGTAATAGTAGTAGTAGTAGTAGTAGTTGCTGTTGTTGTTGTTGTTGTTGTTGTTGTTGTAGCAGTAGCCTTTTTATGCGTCTAAATAACGAATGATGATCATCACATGATTTAAAATCTGAACGATGAGAAACAATGAATCAATTGGCTTTGTGTGTGTTTGTTTGTGTGTGTGCGTATATGTGTATATGTGTGTGTGAGAGACAGAGAAGAAGAGAGTGAAAGAGAGAAAAAATGAGATAATGAGAATGGAGAAAAACACAAAATTTATGGCAAACCAAAGCGTCATGAAGATTAAGAAGAGAGTAGGAATATTCTGGTGGCAATTTATGGAAAGCCAGCCAAGTTTGTCAATATATCACCATTCATTCGTTCATTGTTGTTGTCGGTGTTGGTTTGATTGTGAGTGTTTATTCTTTGTCTTGTTGTTAATGTTTTTTTGTTGCTGTTGTTGTTTTGTTGCTGTTTTTGTTGTTGTTTCACCTTAGTTTATAATCATGTTCATGAGGACGATGACTACAACTAGTGATATTGATGATTATGGTGGTAAGTATAATAATAATGATTTTAAAATGATGATGATGATTATGTTGATTACGATGACTATGATGGTGATAATGATGACGTCACGAAAATCTGGCGCCATTCCATCCAAGTACTTGTCTACATGCAACGTTCTTAAAGTGACAATACCGTCGTCGTCATCATCATCATCACCAGTATTATCATTATCAACAGCACTATCATTATCACTATCAGAGAAACCATGATGATGATGATGATGGTGATGATGATGACAATGATGATGACGAAATTACAATAATTACATTGTAAACAACGCCTATTGCTTCTATATTGTCTCATATTTGAAAAAACAGCTATTTTGTCTATGTTTATTCATTATTTTCCCGTCTATGTTCACCCATTAATTATTTTCTTGTTTCTGTTTATTCATTATTTTTATGCCTATGTTCACCCATTATTTTCTTGTCTGTGTTTATTCAGTATTTTTATGTCTATGTTCACCCATTATTTTCTTGTCTGTGTTTATTCAGTATTTTTATGTCTATGTTCACCCATTATTTTCTTGTTTGTGTTTATTCAGTATTTTTATGTCTATGTTTACCCATTATTTTCTTGTTTATGTTTTTTCAATAGTCATGTTTATGTTTATTTATCGCTCGAGCTTATTACATTTCTGACGTTAATGCATTCTTTGGTTGATTTATATTTCATTGATTAAATTTTCTTGTCTTTTGTTTTTTTATCTTTCCAATTAATTTTTCTCTCTGCTAATATTTACTACCATCATAAAGCAGCAGTGGTTGTAGCAGCAGTAGTAGCAGTTGTAGCCACTGTAGTAGTAACAATAGTAGCAGCAGTAGTCGTAATTGTAGTTGTAAAGGTAAAGGCAGTTATTAGTAATAATAAAAATAATAGTGCAAGTAGTAGCTCAGTCTGTAATACAATTATTATCGTTATTATTATTATTAGTAGTAGTAGTAGCAGGTAGCAGCAGCAGCAGCAGTAGTAGTAGAAGTAGAATGGCAGTGGTGGTAATAATGGTAGTAATATTGAATCAATTTCATCGGATAATGACGGCAATAAAAATATATTTGTTTTTTGGACTTTTGTGCTTTGTTAGTACGTACTGCGTTCGAGTGCAACTTAGAATGCACGTGTGTCTGTATTTATATGTGTGTGTGTGTGTTTATAGGTGTGTTTGTGTATATGTGTGTGTATATGTGTATGTGTGTGTATATGTGTATGTATGCTCGGATTATTGTTTGAATACATGCTATTTATCTCGCAATGAAAAGCGTGTTGAGAATAAATATGATTGTCAAGTGTAAATATTCTAATGCTTATCATCAAGCTGTCAGACGAATTCGTTTACGCACGCATATACACACACACACACCACATACACACACACATCACGCACACACACACAAACACACACGAAAAGGTATAAACGTATGAATGAATGTAAGTTTTGTATTATTTATGTTCGTATATATGCTAATTCGTATGTCTGTCAATGCATATGGATTTACACTGCAAAAAACCAGCACGATTTACAAATATACCTGCTTTTCTTCTACATGTGTTGCAAACAAACAAACACATATACCATCGGAGCATGCAAGAAAATATACCCGCGTATGTGTGCGTATAAGTGCAAGTTTTTGCAAAGTTGTGCAGGCGTTTCAAATTGCAAAAACTATTTTTAACTGACCCAGTTTTTCCCTAAACGAATTTCAACCTTCAGGAAGCAGCAGAAGCAGCAGCAGTAGCAACTTCACTCAAACAGCCCCAGCTTCATCATTTATTCATCTTTACAAAAAGCCCATTATTATATGCATGACAACTTGTCAACTCGCGAGATAACATTAAAAAAACGAGCCAAACAGCATACAACCTGGATGACACATCTAGGTTATACTGAGAAATAGTTTAATGGTTGAGACGCCTTGTTCTGCTGCGTTGTTCATCATCAGGGTACGAACGTAAAGAGACTCTTACATTCAAACATTGAATTAAAACTGTCGAGATTAACGTTAAACCAATCAAATGAAAATGGCAAACCATCCATTGCCTGTCAGCCGAGTTGTACAATGAAGTGGGAGTGTTCACGCACGTGACTCCGCCCAAAATGAACCCACCAATCATAGGTCTCCAATCATCATTTATGTCCTTGACCTTCTGACGAATCAGGACGATGTCAGGGCTGAATGATCTGTTTGAAGCGTTGATGTTTTTTTTGCTGTTTTATGGTTATTGTCGTTGTCAATTATTTCATTGGCAATAAATCTTGCCATAAACAAGAGCCGAAATTACCACAGTCATAACAATAACATTAAGAACAGCAAAAAACAATAAGAATAATAAGAATAATAATAACAACTTTAACGTCATCAGCAGCAGCAAAAAAATAGAATCAAATTTATTTCCAAAAATGCAATATCTCAAGTTCGTTTCGGCTTTTTTGCACCATCTGTTTAAAAATTTAAATTGCAAAGTGAATGACATGAAAATAAGCAAACAAAGAAGCAAAAAAACAAACAAACAAAAAAACAAACAAAAATTCAAACACACGGAAAAAGAAAAAAAATAATTAAAAACAAAATGAAACTTTGACAAAATTCAAATTGAAAAACACCGTCCCCACTTTGACGTTGCATTTTTGAGATGGACAGTCACGTGATTGTCCAGGGTCGATGACGTCATGACCATGTTGGAAAAGTCCGTCTGTTCCACTGAAAGATTGATGCCGACTGTCGAGAGCTGTTTGTTGGCCTGGAAGTAAGTGCTCCTGAGTGAGTGAGCGAATGAATGAATGAATGAGTAAATGCATGAAAGAATAACTGAATGATTGAGTTATGATAGATGATTGTATGATTATTCAAACGGATGAAAACGAGTGACTGATTGATGAAATGAATGAAAATATAGATAAATTACTAATTTAATACATGAGAACAAAAACGAGCAGTCATTGAATTAGCATATGATAGATGGATGGATGAGTGTATGAATAAGTGAATGAATGGATAGATGAATGGATAAGATTTATGATGTGAAATAGTTTATAGGTGAATTAATATATGTATAATAAATAAGAATGATAGATTGATGGATCGATTTTGAGAATAATGACAAATGAATAATTAAAAATTTTCAAAAATAGACCAAATAAAAACACAAAAAAAAACAAATAAAAACAAACTCGTAAAGTTAAAATTTAATAACTTTACGTTATTCAAAATGAAAAAAACTCTAATCTAAACACCCTGCAATGAAATAGAAGCTCCAGTGGCCTGCTGGATGTGTCGATGAAACACAATCGAATCACATTTAAGTGCCTCGTAATTAAATGGTCCCAAGCGGGACAAACATACAATATACATATACAAACAGATACAAACGTATACAAATGGATACAAACAAATACAAACAGACAAAAACATATACAGACGAATATACAAACAAATACTGTCATGCAAAAATACTTTTCAATTTTTATCATTAAACTCTCAAACAATTTATAGAACGTGTGTTGTACACGTTGGTTTGTACGGAATAGGCACACACATACATATGTGCATCGATACATATATACATACATACATACATACATACATACATACATACATACATACATACATACATACATACATACATACATACATACATACACTGTACTCCACCGACTCCATTCCAACCAACAGACCTTTCCCAGGGCGCCATTTTGGAAGAAGCATATAAACGCACATTCAAAGAGTTGCTTTCCTCAAGCCCTGACTCGGCGACCTCAGCTCGATTGCTGGCAGTATCCAGCGAGGCGAGTTGTGGCTGGCTGAGATCTTTGCCCAATACGTCGGTGGGTACCAGATTGGACGACGAAACGGTCAGGACAGCCATTGGCTTCCGTCTGGGATTGGCCGTTCAGAGTCGATACACATGCAGGTGCGGCGCGGAGGCGAATGAACTCGGCCATCGTGGTCTTGTTTGTCGTTTGGGCGGAGGTCGCCAGCAGCGACATTCAGCCATAAACGATTTTGTGTGCCGACTTTTCTCCAAGGCCTCAATTCCGGTTTTAAAGGAACCGTCGGGCATTGCGACGCACGACGGTAAGCGCCCTGACGGGTGTACCTTGATTCCTTGGAGAGCCGGCAGGTGCTTGGCGTGGGACGTTACCGTTCCGGGCACCTTTGCTGAGCGCTACGTGCAGCTTACTAGCAAAGAAAGCGGTTTGGCTGCAACCAAGGGCATCTGACGGGAAGATCAAGAAGTACGACGGAGCTCTCCCCTCGATGGAGTTTTTACCGATTTGTATCGAGGTTCTCGGCCCCATGGACCTCCGGGTTTTTCAATCGGATTTGTAAAAATATCAGTAAAAATATTATAAAATATTATTATTTTTTGTAAAAATATCAGTAAAAATATTATAAAATATTATTATTATTTGTAAAAATATCAGTATTAGGTCAGGCGATAGTAGGGAATATTTTTTCGCTATGAATAATATCTCGTGCATTCTGCAGC